GAGATCTTTGATCTTCAAGTCTTCACTTGTATCCTCGTTGGCATCCTCGTTACCACCCCCTGCATTGACGGGAGGGTTATTGGCATTGTGAGCTCCATCCCTATCCGTGTGCTCTTCTTCCTGAACAACCTGATTACGGTGACTTGGTTCACCTTGTTGGTTCCTGAACGCCTGGATTTGTTGCTCATGCATCTCTCTCATAGTCTGCATGGCCATCTCCATCTCGAATTTGAAACTTTCTTTCTGCTTAGCCAAAGCGTCTTCAAGCATCTTGGCCATTTCTTCCGCGCTTATCATAAATGACTCGCGGGGTTGTCCTTCGCTGGACACTGTATTGTCCGATGCGACAGCAGAGCAGGAATCCGATTCTTCATCTTCCGAAGGCAATCTTGTCCGAACCCTACCATAAGTTCCTCGTGCGATGGCTCCGGACTGCAGACGGGTTACACGCCGGGACGCTTCCAGAAACGATTTGAGATCAATCTGTGTCGATGTCTCTTTGCTGGTCATGTTGGCGGTGACCCTCGGAAATTCTCCGTCTTTAACCACCGTTCTTCTTTGCCGGAAACGCCTATACCTTGGTTTTGGCGTTTCGGTGCCGAGCCTTTCGAACACTGAAATTCTCTCGGGGACTACCTTGATGCAGTTGCATTGAGACAGTACCGCCCGAATGAGCTTTGAACAAGGGCACTGAGTTTCCTGTTCTCGGGGACTCCTCTTTCTGGTTCTGTTCGTACCCCCAGCACGATAGTACAACTCGTCATTTTGACAGTCGGAGTAACCTATCGTGTGTGGGCACGACTTCTCAGGTATAACATTATCACTATCAGATGATAATGTTTCCATCTGAGGGCGAATTGCCTTCCTTGGACTTTCAAGAGTCACGCGCCTTGAGACATGCCTTTTTGGGCGTGAATTCTCAGCGGGCTCTTGGACCTCAATGCGCAAATTAGCGCGCGCAGTTGCCTTGAGCTCCTTGTCATGTTGGAGGTAGCGGTGACCCCCAGCGTGTTGATTCGTTCGGGGTTTTCTTAGTGGGCCCAAACGTTCTTGGATCGGAGCTTTGCTTCGCTCATCGGGAATTGGACCGAGGCGCTCCAAGACTGGCTTTCTTCTTCGGGAGGATTCTGCATGATCTCCCGGAGTAGCTATGGGAATTCTCGGCGACTTAGCTGGGTTCGCCGGAGGTTGAATTTTGGTTGGAGGCTGCAAAGGTTGCTCCTTAGCCTGAATTGCCGCTTCAGACTTTGGCCTCCAAACTTTGCGAGTTGGTGGCGGCTTCTTGGCCACTTCTTTCTGCAACTTTCTACGGGCTTCTTCGGCTTGAGCCCGTGCCTGCGCTGATAGTGCGCGGCGTTTGCGGATGCGTTCTTCCAGCGTCGAACGATTCCGTTTGACACGGACCCATTCCATTGTTGGCGGCTTGGAAGAGGCGCCGTTCATCTGTTGTTGAGGCTGTTTGCCTCTCTTGTTCTTCAGACCCGCGTTGTAGCGGACTCCGTCGGTGGACTCCATCGCTTTGGCGAATTGTTTGGCCAAGCGTTGGCGTTGCCTTTGGCGGGCTCTCTTTGAGAGAGTCACCGCTCCTTTGGTGACGGAGGAATTGGTTGGAACCAGCTTGATCTGGTTGGAGATTGGTGGAGCCTCATCTGACGCAACTTTGGCGTCAATCGAGATGAGGTCGTCGTTGGTAGCTTCAACTTCTTCGTACCAACGCACCTTTCTGTTGGAAGAGAACTTGGACTTCTTGGACTTGCGGGGGGAGGTTGATCTAGACGAGGATGAAAGGTATTCCTCGAACTTGGTCTGATCGAACTCGTATTCGACCTCCTCCACGACTGGGATCAAGATCCGCGGCTGCGACGCTCCGATCTCGGCAGCGAGATCGGTGGCTCCCACTGTGGTCGCCAGATTGTTCGCTGGAAAATTCGTGTCTTTCTTTGTTATTGATTCCATTGTCATCTTGAGTTACAACTTTTTGAGTTACAAAAGATCCGGTCTTTTTATAAGATCCGGTTACAACGAAAATCAAATAAAAATAAACAAAGATTACAACTTTTCTCCTTTTGTGTCGAACGAATCGCGAGCTCCTGTTTTGCGGTCGCTCGCTTTGTGGGTTCTTTGCCTGCGCCGGGGTTGTTTGCCGTGGACCACCGCGCGATCTAGATCCGGTCGGATCTACGCAGTACAACGGGTATTATTTCACCAAGGAAATAATAGCCGGGGAGGATTGTTTCACCAAGGAAACAATCGTCCAAGTCTCGGGATCTAAGACCAAGCTTAGATCCGGAGTATGCCTGCGTAGATCTGAGATCTGATCCTCTCGAACACCTGCCTTATTTGACGTTGATGATCGCCGAGCACCAGATCTGAAGGAGTGAGTCCCCGAAGTCCCAAAGTTTCAATCTTTTTTAAGTTCCGAGTCTCCAATCCAGCAGGGCTTCGCCTCTCTCCAAAATTTCCAACCTTCTCAAATGACAAGGGGGTGGCCTATTTATAGGCTCTCAGGACAGTGCCCGCAAAAAGAGAAACGTCGGCCACCGTCGGCCACTGTCGGCCACCTCGAGGTGGCCGGCACTGTGCCGAGCCACCTTGAGGTGGCTCGGCTCTTGGCCAAGCCACCCCAAGGTGGCTCGGCCACCGAGCCACCTCAGGGTGGCTCGGCCAGTCCAAGATCCAAAGGAAAGCTAGATCTAATACAGATCTGAAGTTTGGAGGGAGAAAAGAGGCTTGTGAGAAAAGAAAATCAAAAATTAGAGGGAGGGGGTGGCCGGCCCTAGAAAGAGAGGAAGAAAAAAAGAAAAAGAATAAAAAAAGAACCCCTTTTATAGCCTTGAACCAGATCTGGCTGAACCAGACCAGACCAGGGCTGAACCAGACCAAGCCAGATTGAGCCAGATTGAGCCAGGTTGAGCCAGATTGAGCCAAAATGAGCCAAATTGAGCCAGATTGAGCCTGGCTGGACCAGACCAGACCAGAATGAGCCAAATTGAGCCAGATTGAACCAGAATGAGCCAGTTTGAGCCAAATTGAACCAGTTTGAACCAAATTTGAACCAGAATTCAAATTGGAGCTGAATTAAGCATTGAAACGACTTTTGATCAACCTACGGTTCAGTCCTTCACCTATTTAACCCCTCTACCATATATTTGGAAGGGTCGGAGAGATTTTTGAACCCAAATACTGCCTTTTTGGCACTTTTTTTGGGCCGGTTCAGATTATTCGAACCTAAAGAATACTCCAATAAGGTATACGAGTATAAACTATTCCCTCCTCTTTGTTGAGAAGTTTCTGGAGAATATTTTTCTAAAAATATTCTTAAGGATAACTCAACATAACTCCCAGGAGTGTATGAGTATAAACTAGACCTCCCCGCTCCAACTCCTTAAGAGCTTAAACTGTGTAGACTCCAAAATACTTACGAGTATAAACTGTGTTAAACGCCGGACAACGCGTCACAATGAAGATTCAAAGCCGTCAACCGATGGTCAATTTCATGTTGAAGCAACTAACTCGAGCTAAAAAGCCAGGAAATCAAGAATCGACTTCAAATTCAAAATTCCGACAACGGTCAGACAATAAATGCAGCACCGGAACCCTCTCAAGCATTCGACAAAGCACCGAATAGCCTGGAGGATTGAAGGAATCGAGAATAGAAACCATTCCAAGAGCCTGTTACACCGATTGAAGGTTGGGACAGTCATATCCAAAGTATTCCAGACTCTTCTATAAAAGAACGAGACTGGAAAACTTTGGAGGGGGTATCTGTAGGCATATAAAATTGCTTATAGGTCCCTTAACACGGCTCAACACGAACTAATGAACCATCGGGCGACGTATCTAAGCACGAACGTCAGTCCACAACACCGAAGCCAAGTGACACGCAACGAAGCGGATTAACAAGGCTACGAAGCTGACGAACCGCACGTGAACGACGGAATGAATCCACTCGCGTGCGGAATCAAACCAACGGTTCAGGGAGTCAACGAGTCATCCAACCATATAACGAACTCGAACTCAGACACCAAAGCCGATTTACTGCCTAATCGGGATCCAGACTTCCAAATCAGGATTCAGAACAAATCGGGGTTCAGAGCAACGTCACAGGCGAACTCGGATGAATCGTGATCGAGTCATGATCAGTTTTGGAATCAAACTCAGAGTCGGATTTATTACCAAATCAGGAATCAAGTCAACGAATCGATTTCAGACCAATCAACCGCATAACCGAATGGGTGGCTCGGCATGAGCCGAGCCACCCTGAGGTGGCCGCCCAGATCTATGCCAAATGCACAGATCTGGTTGCCTATAAATAGGCGGGGTCATTCATCATTTTGGAGGACTTTTGGAAGAACTTTTGGAGAGCCGAAACTCTGCCGGATTGAGACCTCATCTTGGAGTTTTTGAAGGCTTGAAGACTTGGACATTCGGATCTGATTCTCGGCGAGCTTAGAGGACTTTTTGGAAGAACTTTTGGAGAGCCGAAACTCTGCCGGATTGAGACCTCATCTTGGAGTTTTTGAAGGCTTGAAGACTTGGACATTCGGATCTGATTCTCGGCGAGCACCCGCATCACAAAAGGCAGGAGTTCGAGGGGATCAAGATCTCAGATCTACGTTGTTACACTCCGGATCAAAGCTTGGTCTTTGATCCCGAGATTCGAGCGATTGTTTCCTTGGTGAAATAATCCCTCCGACTATTATTTCCTTGGTGAAATAATACCCGTTATACTGCGTAGATCTGTTCGGATCTAGATCGTGCGGTGGTCCACGGTAAACAACCCCGGCGCAGGCAAACAACCCACCCAAGCGAGTGACCGAATAACAGGAGCTCGTGATTTGTTCGACAAAAGAGAAAAAGTTGTAATTTTTTAATTTTCTTTATTTTTGATTTTCATTGTAACCGGATCTAAAAAAGACCGGATCTTTTGTAACCGAAAAACTGTTATTCAAGATAGCAATGGAATCAATGAAGAAAGCAACGATTTTTCCCGCGAACAGGAACCAATGGCTCAGAGAGCTAGTTAACCTTGTAGTGGTGGCCGGTGACCATGGCAAGGAGTCTAAGGATAAGGAAGAGCAAGCAGAGTTGAAGAAGATGTATAGTCTCATTGAGGAGTACAAGTTGGATGGTTCGATCCGTTGGATCTCTGCTCAGATGAATCGGGTTAGAAATGGAGAACTGTATCGATATATCTGAGATACTAAAGGGGCCTTTGTGCAGGTACTCCACTCTTACTAGAAAACTTATTGTGTTTTATGGCTGGAAATATGAGCACATTATAGATACTAAAATCATGGCATTACTAGTGCCTAACTTCTTACAATTATGGGTTAACTTCAGAAGACCGCCATGCACTTTGGGGGTGTTGCAGATAACTCCCTGCACTATGTTAATTTGAGAAAATACCCCTCAAGAATTGGGGTGCTGCAGATAACCCCCCTGAACTTTGTGGTGTCTCAGATAACCCCCTAAACTTGCAACTTGTCTCAATGGAACCCCTACCTGTAAATGAAAAACAACTTAAACATTTTTGGGAGGGGAAAAAATCCCCAATTTAGACATCTGTTGTTTACTCGCCTTAATCTATATGTTTGCATCCGTGTCATTATAAATTGTTTAACAAAACATTTCCATCTTTGTTAGCCGGCGTTCTAAGAAGCATTTGGACTCACAGTTGTTGAGGCCATGACATGCGGTTCACCCACATTCACAACGTCCCATGGTGGGCCCGCAGAGATAATAGTCCACGGAGTTTCAGGCTTCCACATTGATTCGTACCAAGGCGACAAGGCTGCTGAGCTCCTTGTGGACTTCTTTGAGAAATGCAATCAAGATCCAACCCACTGGGAGAAAATCTCTAAAGGACTTGATATCTGCGTCTGATTTTGTTGACGTAGAGCTCGACTCTTGCGTTTAATTTTGCCGACACAGGGTTCGACCTCCGCGTCTATTCTTTGCTTTTGCACTTGACTGATTATTTTCTTTGTTTTGCAGTACGCCACACCAGCGAGTCTCTTCCTTTCCGCCATCACTTTGGTCATGAAGGTGGTGTTGATAAGAATATGACGTTCAATCTACGCCTAAAGCTCCCTGTGTTCCGTATCATCGAAAAAGACCGTGTTGAAGCGATTCTTCAGGCTTCTTTTGAAACTCTTCGGACATTGGTCACAGACGCCAAGTTTGAGAGTCTAAGGTGTAAACCGCTCGTCAAACCAGCATTCTTCTTCGGGGATTTCATTAACTTTGAAACATGTGTGGCTTATGATGGGGATTATAAGTGGCTAAGGAAAGTTAGGGATCGTCACCTCTTCTTACCTAACATGGAGAGGATGTACCCGATATTATACTTCCAGTGTGCTTCTATTCCAAGGCGCATAGATTGGGACCTTGTCAAGGAACAAGATGGAGTTGCCCTTGGAACCTTGACTTTCCAAGGGGTTCGTACAATGGGTTATAACAAATAGGTGACAGCCTTATGACCAGGCTTGTTCGCCAAAGAATACCCAGTCGGTGAAGTGGCTAGTCTGGCGAATACTTTTGTCAAGAGATTTATGGTGAAGAAAGGAGAATTTCTCACACAAGGATTTAGGTCTCCTGGTTGGGTTCACTCTTCAGTGACAGGGTGGTGGACCCGAATGACCAATTTTGTTTTGGAGGAGTTAGAGACACCCCTCACTCAAGCTGGTATGAAGATTCCCGTGAGGGCTACTAAATACGGGATCATCCAGAGCCACTATCACTTCTTCTCTATATTGGAGAGATACAATCCCGAGACCTGTACCTTATTTACTCCGGTAGGGGAATTGGGTTTTTCTCTTCACGAGATGCATGACATCTCAGGTCTTCTTGTCGGGGATTTACCATATGAAGAATTTTTTCCAAGATCAACGGAACTTAAAAATTTGAGAAAAACTAGCCCTGAAGTTTACTCCAAGCTCTGGGAAGTTATGTGTCACTTCCATATCTGCATGCAACAGACAGGGGCTCGGGGTAGTGGTGTAAAACAAGTATCTTGGGCAGAGTACTTGTTCCAGAATTTGACCGATAAGGGAGCTCCAGTGACCAGATTGTCTGCGAGTACTTTGGAGGAGATTCAAACCCGAATCGATGCCCGATAAGGGAGCTCCAGTGACCAGATTGTCTGCGAGTACTTTGGAGGAGATTCAAACCCGAATCGATGCTGCTACCTCCCATTATACAAATGAAGTTGTCTGCGAGTACTTTGGAGGAGATTCAAACCCGAATCGATGCTGCTACCTCCCATTATACAAATGAAGCCAAAGAGGATATTTTTCCTGCTTACACGGAGTTTGAAAGCTTCCACTATCAAGCTTAGATCCCTATCTCAGATATGGCATTGCTGGCGGGGTTCCTGATGTTGTGGCTAAAGCGATGCGTTATCCCCACCAGGCCAATTGATGCTCTTATCGCTGAGGTGATTTACCCAGCCATTTTTTTGGAGCATGGAAGCCGCTGAACCTTCTTTCCACAATGGTGTGTCGTATACAGAACGGGTTACGTGAGCTAGTCGTGGATTTTGTTAATGTCACGGAGGTAAAGTCGGGCGAGGGCAAGACTTTTAAAACTCCCAATCCCCGGGTGCCACTGACTTATATTTATCTGATGACTTGGTACGTGTCCCACTGTCCCTCATTGATGAGTGCGGCTTCTCCTCAAGGTGATTCATTCATCCCACTTGTACAATGATTGAAATCTGCAAAGTGGAAGGGGACTTACATGGTTAGGATTCGCCAGATCTTATCGCAGGACACTAATTATCATATTTTTTATTGCTTCCTCGATTTTGAAGGTGGGGGTGTATGGAGCAACATTCCAAGATGTGGCCGGTCCTAACAGATTCACTCAGCTGAATGGGGGTGTCTTTCGTTGGCTACTCTACATCAGGGCGGGCTACTTGATCTTTCCAAGTGTTTCATTGAGTCTTATCAACCATATAGGTTTGCTCGACAATTTGGGTATGACTAGCTGTAGGCATGTAAAATTGCTTATAAGTCTCTTGGCATAGCTCGGCGCGATGATTCGACAAACCATCGAATGACGAGGCGACAAGGTCAACGAATCGCACGCGAGCAACGGAATGCATCCATTCGCAAGAACCAATGGCCCTCAGAGAGCCCTAGCTTAAACCTTGTAGTGGTGGCCAGGGCTGACCCATGGCCAAGAGTCTTAAGCATAAGGAAGAGCAAGCAGAGTTGAAGAACATGTATAGTCTCCATTGAGGAGCTACAAGTTGGATGCGCTTCCGATCCGCTTGGATCCTTCTGCTCAGATGAATCGGCCCGTTAGGAAATGGAAGAACTGCTATCGATATTATCATGCAGATACTAAAGCGGCGGCCTTTTGTGCAGGTCTCCCACTCTTACTAGAAAATTATTGTGTTTTATGAGCACTGGAAAATATCGAGCAACATTTATAGATACTAAAATCATGCGGCATTACTAGTTGGCCTAACTTACTAATACAATTATGGCATATAAACTTCAGAAAGACCGCCCATGCCCACTTTGGGACTGGGTGTTGCAGATAACTCCCCTGCACGTATGTTAATTAGAAAATACCCCCTCCCCAAATTGCGGGTGCTTGCAGATAAACCCCCTGAAACATTCGTGGTGTCTTCCAGATAACCCCTAAACTTGCAACTTGTTCTCAATGGAACCCCTACCTGCTAAATGAAAAACAATCTTAAAACATTTTTGGCGAGCGGGAAAAAATCCCCAATTTAGACATCCTGTGTTATACTCGCCCCTTAATCTATATGGTTGCCATCCCGTGTCATTAAAATTGTTAACAAAACACCGAAACTCTGCCGGATTGAAGATCGAGCTTAGAGTTTTGAAGACTTGAAGACTTGGACATCCAGATCTGATCCTCGGCGAGCATCCACGTCACAAAAGGCAGGAGTTCGAGAGAGGGGAAGAACAGATCTGAGATCTACACGAGATCACACTCCGGATCTAAGCTTGGTCTTAGATCCCGAGATCCGAGCGATTATTTCCTTAGTGAACTAATCCCTCCCGGCTATTATTCCCTTCGTGGAATAATACCCGTCAAATCGTGTAGATCCGACCGGATCTAGATCGCGCGGTGGTCCACGGATTAACCCCGGCGTTGGCAAAGAACCCACAAAAGCGAGTGACCGCAAAACAGGAGCTCGCGATTTGTTCACAAGGAGAAAGTTGTAATTTTTTTTTCTTTGATTTCGTTGTAACCGGATCTAAAAAAGACCGGATCTTTTGTAACCACAAAAAGTTGTTATTTTGAGATCACAATGACATCAATGAAAGAAACGATTTCCCCGCGAACAATCTGGCGACCACAGTGGGAGCCA